TAAAATTAACTATGCTTCTGACTGACCATACGTGATAACAGATACTACATTTATAATCATTTATAATAATAAATGATGATCATGATAATAATCATTCGTAAACGATATTTGAATTATTATTATGCATCAGCTAGTTTATGTAATTAGAGAGTAAGCAATTGATAACGTCATTTGTAAAGGTACAACATAGTGATTCAAATATGTACCTACCAGATATAAGTAGGTGAGATAACAATCGAACATTAGCGAACGAAAATTTGTATAAAAATCTTTTAAATAAAAGAGTACCTACTTTCTTTATATTTATATCAGGAAATTTACATAATACATTAATATAAACAATCATTGTAATCCAACGGCACATCGAGGCCGCGTACCCAAAATACTGGCAGCGTTGCCTCTTTGAATGGCCATACTTAGCCTTTGGGCAAAGTAGCTACCAGCTCTCGGGTCACAAGCAACCTCGAGCCGCGCTGAAATATATGTCTTCCGGGCTCCAAGACCCCAACGTCTCCACGGCAAATGGTAAAAACCAATACGACCTGGCAAGATTCGTATATTTTCGTCTTTTTAAAATTACGCCTGTGTTGCTGCCGTGCCGATGAGAAGACGATACAGACATATAACTTGGTCCCTATGTATCCACACACTTGGCATCCTATACTAAACATTTTCCGAGTTTTGGACGAGAGTCATACCGTCAGGCTGGTTTTCGCGGACAAAGTCACTAGGCTCTAGTACTTCCGGTATTTGAGCCGTCGCCAATGCTCTATGTATAATAGTGATGATCATGACATGACAAGGTATTCGACCAGCATACATACAAGAGAGATCATGGTGTTCTAATTCAGTACCTACTTATTTGGAATTAAATCTCAGTAAGAGATTCTCCTCCAAACATTTCCTAATCCAGTGGTTCCCAGTGACATATCGTATGTGAGGCTTGCTACTTTTACCAAATATATATATTTTACTTTCTTATTTCACTATATTTACTGCCGCTGTGCATTCTACCCCTACAATGATTTGAATGTTTGTGAGTGTGTGTATGTTTGTTTTACTGATAGCCGCACTATATATAGGTAGGTAGATGGGGTAATCCTTGATGCAACTTCACGTACCCCTGGGGTACTTGTACCACTAATTGGGAATCACCGGTTTAATATAATAAAATAGACGAAAGTGAATAAATTATTTTCTCAAATACCTATAATTAAGTACTTAATAAAGATTTTACTAACTACTCAAGAAAGTGACTCCGAAAATATATTATCTGATATTATAACTAAATCTATATTAGTAGACTCCAATAATAATACCTACAAACAGACAAACAAGCAGATAACCTATTTCACTTCTAACATCCTCCTGATTTCGTTTTTGGCGTTTTTTTTTCTATGTATTTAAATTCGACCATTACTGTCTGATTACATCAGTATTCTTATCTATACCTATATCTATATCTATACATGTAAATAAAATTGAAGTGTCTGTTTGTAATATTGAAATAACCGTTTTTTACTATATGCATATGAGTAAAAATACGGGACACACATACAACAAAATAACATTTTTTATTAATTTTGTCTGTCTGTCTGTTTATTTCGGCTAATCTCTGAAATGGCTGGACCGATTTTGACGGGACTTTTATTGGCAAGTAGCTGTAATAAGGAGTAACTTAGGCTACTTTTAATTTAGAAAATTCCTTTATTTTAGAAAAGTACAGTTGAATTCCACGCGGACGAAGTCGCAGTAGGTGGCAAAATTCCTACATAAATAATATTATGACTATAAATTGAGATGTAAGCTATCCTATCTTTCAAGTTGGATCAAATTGCACACAATGTTCAAATCAAATGTGCAATCGGTACAGTAGTGTAGGAGTCCATCGCGGACAAACGACGTGACACTTAATTATTATATACTAGTTACCCACCCCAGCTTTGCATGGCTGTACATGTATTATATACACATAAATGTTCCTCTTAAATCACTCTATCTATTAAAAAAACCGCTTCAAAATCCTTTGCATAGTTTTAAAGATTTAAGCATACATAGTGACAGACAGACAACGACAGCGACTTTGTTTTATACTATGTAATAATAATAATGATAGAAAGAAGATGTAAAACATATTGTAGAGGTTCTATTAATGTGATGGTTATTATAATCATATAAGCTACAATTCTATTAATGTAGATAAGCAAACAGCCTCAGTTGACGTCAGTACAAGGTCATATTTTACCTTCAGTTCTACGACAGTATAAATAACATAAGGGCATGATTGTATTAACAAATATATAGAATAAATTATTAATATATTCATTAAATATGAAGAAATATCATTCGTTGCAATAGTTCAACAGGAATGTTATTAGTCTTATTGATAGATAGATAGATAGATAAGTTCTTTATTCAACAATTACAAACACATAGCATATATGAGATACATTTTAAAAATAGAAATAAAGTTTACAAATTAAATAATACAGAAATATAAGATTACAAAATAAAATAAAATGGAGATATTGGGTAAATTTCATTTTAGATGTGAATTTTAACACGTCTCCTTTTAATTATGTTCCTTACTCCTACGTACGTAATGAAACAATCTGTAAAGTAGTAGACAACTAAAGAAAATATATATATAAAGTATAAGACATAGTGTCGTCCATCTATACCTTTATATAATTTTACCTATAAATAAAATTGGAGTGTCTGTTTGTAATATTGAAATTTTGCTACATGCATATGAATATAAATACGGTACATACATATATCAATATAACATTTTTTACAATTTTTGTCTGTCCGTCTGTCGGTCTGTTTGTTCCTGCTAATCTCTGAAATGGCTGGACCGATTTTGACGGGACTTTTTTTGGCAGGTAGCTAGTAGTAAGAAGTAACTTAGGCTACTTTTATTTTAGAAAAATAAAGTTCAATTCCATGCAGACGAAGTCGCGGGATCAGCTAGTAATATATATATATATATATCTAATTATATTGATGTAGTACGGAGGATAACAAATAAGCTGAATCAACATCCAACCTGCACATGAAATAATTTAATAACGACAGTTTATATAATCTGAATTAATATTATATTATACTAGAATATATATATCTAAGATCTCAATTAATAATCTCAAAATTTTGCATTAGAATATTTCGAATTAATAAGTACCTATTCACATTTTAATTTAGTTAATATATATATGCAGTATCCAATCCCATTAAGATTATAAACACGAAAGTTTGTGAGTATGGATGGATGTTTGTTACTCTTTCACGCAAAAACTACTGAACGGATTTTAATGAAACATTACAGTAATATAGCTTATACATCAGAATAACATATATAACAACAAACTCAATGAACTTTAACTCCTCATGATGTGTTGTTAAAGCTTAGTTTAGTAATAAAATGTCTATTGTTATTGGTATAAAGCAACTTTCATAATTCTGTTGTGGGTGATGCAACTCCGAGCATAGGGCACAGTTATTGTATTACCACGTCTGTATATATGTCTCTATATTTGTTAAGACAATTTTAATTATTCTTGCTAAAATTATTAGAATTAATAATAAGGAGTAATTCTAATTTTGATTAATCATTATTAATCATTAATGTTAATCATCAATAATTAATCATTCTAATATTGAGCGAAAAGTTTTCAAAGCAAGATTATAGACAAAATTTACGTACTCACTCAATAATGCAATTTAAATATTGTTTATTTAATTATCTGCTCTATATACGAATATTAAATACAGTCGTAATGGGTACTTTAAACTAAAAGCCAGGAAGAAGGAAAGAGTGATAAAACGAAAAAAATGACATTTCATACTACATTGACCTCATGTCCATTGTCTACGCAGTCTATATGAAATTATAACGATTTAATAATTTTAGACATATTTGATAATTATTTAAAATTTCCACTTTACTCCCCAAAAAAATTAATTCGGTTATTTTCTTTGTAAACATTGGAAACACCCACACCAAAATATTCTATAACAATTATATTAGCAAGTATGTACCTTTATGTAACATATTATACATAATACAGTCTTGCTGCCATGACCAACACAGCCGCCCTGGCTCCTCTCGCGTCTATCTCTATAACTATACATCCTACATAACATTACGTTGCCTAATCATAGGTCGCGATCTAACTTTCAACATGGGACCGACCGATTTGAACCGGTTCTATGTCTCGCTCAATTAATTTTAAAATTAATTGGTTTATTGGGTCAGAACATAGTTTCTGTAATGAGCTATTATGATTTAAGTATTATGAAATGCAAAATTTTATATATAGTATATAAATAATTAATTCACTTGTTAAGTAGATGGATTAAATTCGTAAGATGTGTGTAGCTCTAAATTGCCTAAGTCCATGCCAGTGCTGGATAATTTCTAAATAATCAACAAAATATGGATGTTGGTAGTCGAGTTAGAATTATTATTAATATACGATTGACCCAATCGCAGGCGATAAATAATATTTGTATCAGTATGTATAGTATGTCACTCCTGCGACACCTCTGGCGTCAAGAATGACATTAGAAAGGCAAATATTTTTTATACGCATTGCTATGTTCTTATATGACGTAGAATATCATTAATATTGCATTTACAAAACATATTCCGTAAATTATATGTATACCCTTATATTAAGTACCTATTTATTTATTAAAGTAGGATTATAAAACTGATATCAACGCGTAGTATATTAATTGATTATTAATCGCCTTGCGAAATAATAAAAAATGTATAGAATTAATTATATTTGTAATGATAGTGTGTTATTGTTCTTTCTATTGTTTATAACAAAAAAAAAATAGTAAATAAGTTATTATAACTATCGCAAATACAGTCGCAGAGCAATTGTAGCTTTTTAGTCCTCAACAATGGAAACGTGTTCAGTTGAACAATGAACAATTTATTAATAATTAATTATAGATATATAAATAAAAATTTATATGTTGCTACTTACAAGGGTAATATTTTCATGTTGTGTTGGGAAGTTGTAATGCACTATTCGTAAGTCCTTTCTCCGAGTTGCGGGTGAGCAGGTCCAAAGCGGTCGGAGGCCACGGTTGTTCTGAGACCAGTGCAGGCGCCATTGCTCGAGGCGAACCTGGCCGTTCTTAAACTAACGTTCCGTCCGGCCGTTCCTAACCACAATCGTCATCAAAATTTGGTATGCCGCACGCGCCGAGCAGCCGCACAAGCACATAGCGATCTTCGCTCATCGAAATAGAGTAAATCCTGTTGTGACAAACCTCGTGATATGCGTATTAAACAGTAGCTTTTGGAAATTGTTCTAACGGTATTGTTTAAAAATTGTATTGTTAGCTACTTTCCTATATTACGTTGCATTCGCTATGTGTGAATAGTCTAGAAGAGTACATATAGGTATATATATAGCTGTGCTCGCGACTTCGTTCGCGTTTTATAGTGACTTTGATATATTTATATATATTTAACTAGCTATTCGCCTCGGCTTCGTCCGGGTATACACGTATTATACATATAAACCTTCCTCTTGAATCACTCTATCTAAATGAAACCGCTTCAAAATCCGTTGCGTAGTTAATGGACAGCGGCAGTGACTTTATTTTATATATATATAATGATCAACAGCCTAAAATATAAATTGTAAGTTTCTAGCTTTTAAAATAATGATATTTCCATACAAACTATAATCTTACCCTTTGAACCCCTTACAACCTTTTGTTTGCATTAAAAACACTATGGCCTATGCACTTTCTCAGGGTCTACACTATCTGTGTACCAAATTTCATTCAAATGGGTTTAGTAGTTTTGACTTGAAAGCGAGACAGACAGAGTTACTTTCGCATTTATAATATAGTAAGGATAAGTAATATATATGACCTCAAATGATATATTACAAAATAAATGCTTTTAAATTTTTTCGAATTAGATTACTACATTATTATTGTATTTTAAAAGGGTAAATTTTTATATAAGTATCTCACAAATACACCAATATTGAACTAAACTGTTTGTTATGCATAAATATGGATTACTGCACTCGTATGTATTAACGGTATATGCTATAATAATAATAATATCTCAGGACAATTCACACAACGCCATCTAGTCCCAAGCTAAGCAGAGCTTGTGTTATGGGTACTAGACTACTGATATAAATACATGGATACATTTTTTTTTTGTAAATAAGTACATATTATACTTAGAAAACACCCAGACCGATACAAACAATCATACTCATGAATACAAATGTTTGTACCGTGTTTGAATCGAACCCACGACCATCGGATAGTAAAGCGGTGTGCTAAACCACTAGACCACCGAGGCTGTCAAATATGCTAGTCCACCAGTGGAGGATGATGTTTTTTTTATGTATGATATTGATAATACAATGATGCACCCGCCTGCGCTAACGGTTTACGCTGGCGGGGTACCAGTGGAGGAACAAGGTCAGTTTTTTTTTTAATGATTGATAATGGAATGGTGTACCCGCCCGCGCTAACGGTATACGCTGGCGGGGCACCAGTGGAGGGTGATAAGATGAGCATGAGGTCAGGTCAGTTAGCCCATCATAACAAATTCAACAATAATTTATCACGATGGTTTCTAGGGGGAACCGCGTGGAGGTCAACCTGACATGGTACATTGCTAGCAATGAGATCATCAGTCCACATTACTAACAATCCTCTTTCCCCCCGAACAAGGTCAGTTAGCCTAATTTGGCAAATTCGTCAGGAATGGTTTTCAGGGGGCAAGATGTGTATATGTATTTACTAAATGATCATGACTTGGGTTAGATTTTAAATCTCATCTGATTGAGTGCTAATATAAGACCAGTTTAGCACAACACTGGTTTCCCTCGAGGCTGCTGACCCCAGGGGCAAGATCTCCAAAACCTTGGACGAGGGTCAGATTAGTTACATTCCTAGCAGATGTGGTCCCTTCGCAAACCACATTATTAATAATAATCGTCTCAAACACAAAACGATTATTAAAACATTGTAAAATGTTGCCCATGCCGAAATAATAAACCTTTTTTAAATTTAGCCATTTATGAACATGATTTTTTTTTATATTATAACAAGCTGTGCCCACGACTTCGTCCGCGTGTTCCAGTGACCTCGACCAAACATTGAAAAAATATTTAATAATCTAACCCAAAAAGTGCAAATAAAATTAACGATTTTCCATACAAACTTCAATCCCCTTTAGGTTAAATTTTTTACCTCTTAAGGGTAACATTTTCACAAACTTTGAATGTCATATTTATTAGTATTTAATCAACAGCCTCAAAAATAAGTTTCAATCTTCTAGCTTCAAAAATGACTAATCTTCCATACAACCTTTCATCCCCCCTTTTAATCCCTTACAACCCTTTTTTTTCGCATTAAAAAGTAGCCTATGTCCTTTCTCAGGGTCTAGACTATCTGTGTACCAAATTTCATTTAAATCGGTTCAGTAGTTTTGGTGTGAAAGCGAGACAGACAGAGTTACTTTCGCATTTATAATATTATAGGTATAAGGATTTTTCCCTACTTCCAGTTTAGTATACACATTCAATTCACTCAATTATACGACATTTTCACTTGGAATTACGTAGTATAATGAGTATTAAATTGATAACAAGAATTTTGCGTAACTTTATTGGTATGTGTGTATTTTAATTGAATGGACAATTGTTTATTTATCAACATCTTTATGAATCTAAAAAAATCTACGAATTTGTTGTTGTGCATATTTATAGCATAGTTTCTCATGTGAACAGCGTTGGTACAGAAGTAATCAATCTGAAATATATTGTAGTAAACATCTAGTAATATTAACGTATATTTGCATATATAGTAAAAATATCTACTTTTGGTTTTTGATGTCAAAGTCGATAGATTGTGTTCGTAACCTAAAAACACTGTCTTGTACAATTATGTTACTGTGAATGTAAAGATTTAAAATGATAATATCTCAGTTTTGTAATGTATCTATGGATTATTTGATTCATTTTAGACTTTATTACGACGTGATAGCAATGATACAGGTGTGCCTCTACAGACGTTAGCCACTTTCATTAGGTCATAGGTGAGAATGGATCTCTGAAATTTAGGCTGTCTGCACACGACGCGGTTCGGCGTCACGATCGGCCAAACAGTATGGTTGAGATGGTAACAAGTGTTTGATAAAGTGTGAGGGGCAGAGAGTGATGGAGATATTCAGTGGATTATATACAGTAGCATATATAATTTATTCTCGATCTGATTTAGTTGCACGTTACATATCAACTGTTACTTAGCAACATGATTACTTGTTTTAAATGTGATGGATTATACTTTTCCTTCTAAAATCAATGTGCATAATAAAAATCATGATTAGGTAAGAAAGAAGAGCATTATTTTTATTATTGTACTCGCCTCAGCTTCGCACATGTACGCCCGCATGTTTTATATATATAAACCTGCGTTTTGAAGCACTATCTATAAAAAAATCACTTCAAAATTCGTAGTTTTACAGATTTAAGCATACATAGGGACAGACAGCGACAGCGACTTTGATGATAATGATTATGAAGTTAAACAGGATTTTCTTAATTATGAGGATTCTTTCATACAATATAAATTAATAATTTTAATAACAAAGAATTTAATATTGGATTTCTTTCGTGTTTCTCTGTAATCTTGGAGAACGTAATGTCGCGCCGTATGCAATAAACTTTATTATGTAATACTAAGAGGCACGAGGCTGTATGTACGTAATAGTACCTACAGTGATGTGATCAAAACCCAACCAATTATTGTTAGTTAGAACATTTGAAATGTACATTAAAATTATTTAACATTTATCCTATTCATAGATAGGTAGGGCAACACAACTCAGTATCGCATTTTTTTGTTTTTATCAAAATAGCTCATTATTTTCAGTAATTATCAACAGCATTTTGCATTTTCTACCGCATATATCATGGGGAGTGTTCTGAGGAATTGTGCGGATTAATACCAGCTGCTAAGTTTCACCACCGTACCACCTGCCAGAAACTAAAATTCCACCCTGATCATCTGGATGAATGGCGGTCCTCCACAGTGAGGTTTTCTAGAAACTTTTTGCCACGGCAATCACATTGTGGAATCACCTTCCAGCACTGGTATTTCCTAACTGATACGATATTGAAACCTACAAGAAAAGAGCTTATTCCTTTTTAAAAGGCCGATAACGTACTTGCAGTTCCTCTGGTGTTGCGGGTGCTCATGGGCGGCGGTAATCACTTACCATCAGCTGAGCCGCATGCTCGTTTGTCCCCTGTGTTATAAAAAAAGCATACTGTAAAAAGTTATTCTGTGACCTCCTCGGTGGTCTGGTGGTTTACCACACCTCTTTATTATCCGATGGTCGCGGGTTCGATTCCTCGCACTATACAAACATTTGTATTCGTGAGTATGATTGTTTGTATCGGTCTGGGTGTTTTCTATGTATAATAAGTATATATTTACAAAAAAATGCATCCATGTATTTATATTAATTGTTTAGTATCCATAACACAATACTACTATACTACTTATAATATATTATAACGATATGTACTACATCAAGTAAATAAATAAGGAAGTTTTAAAGCGTTACGGTAACATACTGCAGATTTAATTCTATAGAAATGTAGTGCATATATAATCTATACATATGAATAAAATTGGAGTGTCTGTTTGTAATATTGAAATAACCGTTTTTCACTACATGCATTTGAATATATACATCTATACATGTAAATAAAATTGGAGTGTCTGTTTGTAATATTGAAATAATCATTTCCTACTACATGCGAATATAAATCCGGTTCATACACCAAAATAAATTTTTTTACAATTTTGTCTGTCTGTCTGTTTGTTCCGGCTAATCTCTGAAATGGCTGGACCAATTTTGATGGGATTTTTTTGGCAGGTAGCTGATGTAATAAGGAGTAACTTAGGCTACCTTTATTTTAGAAAAATAAATTGATTTCCACGCGGACAAAGTCGCGGGAACAGCTAGTAGAGTATAAAATAGATGTTAGAATACTAATACCTATTGGCTACATCCTAGATGGATATCAAACATATTTAATTCTTGAAGGTCTTAACCTTGACG